CCCCGGGAGGGGGTAACGGGCTCCGATCCTTCCCCGGTGGGCGAGAAGGAGATGGGGGAGCGCCAGGACCCCCACGAGCACCCCCCGGGACAACCGGGCGCTCTGCCGAGCACCGTCTATCCCGGTCCCGGTCCCAAACCCGGTCCGGGTCCCGGTCCCGATCCCTCCTCCCCGGGGGGGTGCACAGCCCGTCCCGGTCCCGGTCCCGGTCCCTCCTCCCCGGGGATTGGGCAGCGCCGAGCACCCCCGGTACCGGTCCCACTCCCGATCCCGATCCCAATCCCGGTCCCGCGGTCCCGATCCCGATCGCGGTCTCGGTCCCTTCTCCCCGGGGGGGGGTGCACAGCACCGAGCACCCCCGGTCCCGGTATTCCCGTGCCGATCCCGATCTCGGTCCCGGGGTCCCGGTCCCAGTCCCGATCCCGGTGTCCCGGTCCTTCATCCCCGGGGGGGTACACAGAGCCGAGCACCCCCGCTCCCGGTGTCCCTGTGCCGATCCCGATCCCGATCCCTATCCCTATCCCGGTCCCGGTCCCGGTCTCCCGGTCCCGGTCCCGAACCCTATCCCGGTCCCGATCCCGATCCCGATCCCAATCCCGGTCCCGGTCTCCCGGTCCCGGTCCCGATTCCAATCCCTCCTCCCCGGGGAGATTTGGGGTGGGGGGGGGTTTGCAGAGCCCCCCGAGCACCGTCCGTCCCGTCCAATCCCGGTCCCACCGTCTGTGCCGGTACCGGTTGCGGCTCCCGGTACCGGTGGGGGATCCCGGTACCGGTGAGGGGTCCCGGTACCGGTGGACTCACGCGTCCCGTGGAAGCGGCGGGCGATGGTGTCCAGGAAGGCGTTTTGCGGTACCGGGAGACCCCGCATCGGCGACATCTCGGTGGCGGCTCCGCGTTGGGCGGGCACCGGGGGGGGCGGCGCTGGGTCCCGAATTCTTCACCCTGAGGGTGGTGAGAGCCTGGCCCAGGTTGGCCAGAGAAGCTGTGGCTGCCCCATCCCTGGAGGGGTTCAAGGGGCAGGTTGGAGGGGGCTTGGAGCAACCTGGGCTGGTGGGAGGTGGCCCTTCCATCAGAAGGGATGGAACTGGATGAGCTTTAAGGTTCCTTCCAACCCAAAATGTTCTGGGATTCTACGGTGATCCCACCACTTCCCTGGGTTGGAAGAGACCTCGAAGCTCATCAAGGCCAACCATCAACCCACCACCACCCACCACCACCCTTAGATCCCCCCAGGGATGGTGTTTGGGGAACTGGAGCCATCGGATGAGTGGGAAGAGTTTTGAACCAAAAATTAGGAGATTTAGGTGAGATCCGGGGAGGAAATTCCTCCCCCTGAGGGTGGTGGCCCAGGTTGGCCAGAGAAGCTGTGGCTGCCCCATCCCTGGAGGGGTCCAAGGCCAAGGTTGGAGGGGGCTTGGAGCAACCTGGGCTGGTGGGAGGTGTCCATAGGGCAGGGGGTGGGACTTGGGGGGGCTTTAAGGTCCCTTCCCACCCCAAACCAGTCTGGTCACTGGTGGCAGCGAGGCAGAGGCAGCGACACCCACCATGATCATCACCTTTATTGGTACAGCTCTGGAGAACGCCTGTCGCCATCTCCCCCCCCCCGACACACACCCCGGGGCGGCCCAGGATTAGCTCTGCTAATTGATATTGCTCTAAATTTAATTTAGGGACCGAGAAAAAAGGCTGGAGAAATTGGGGAGAAATTAGGGAGAACGGGGGACGCGCGCACACACACACACACACACACACACAGAGGGCAAGACGGGGGAAGTGAGTAAAAGAGATCTCCAACATAAAAAAAACAGAGAAAAGCAAAGTGTGTGGACAAAGTGTGCGGGTCCCCGGGGAGGAGGGGTCC